TAGATAGAACTCTCAGACGTCCTAGACACTTTTTAGAGCTTTGGAGAAGCTTTCTCTTGAGTTCTAGTGATCGGAATATCGATTCCAAGTCTAGGACATCGTTTTCTCTTCATAAATCCTAGCAGATACGTTCCAAACTGTTGGAATTCATCTCGCCGGTGTGGATACGTGTAGAGGAGTTGTGCTTTCAACTCTCGGTGATTAAAACAGGTCCTGGATCGATTGATACTTCCAGATCTTGAAAGAACGAGGTAAGTATTCGAATCCCACGACGATATACACGATTGTTCGGGTTATTGCACAATTGGTTTTGTGTGACGTTTGGCTAGGTTTTGATCTTTCCTTCCGCTGCGTGAAACCTAGAATCCAAACCCTAGATCGATGAGATCGCATGCTAGGAACCCGAAGGGAACCCAACAAATAGATCCATTAGAGTTTCGTTTTAAGCGAAAAACCCATTTGCAACCAACCAAGTTATAGGAGGGATTTGGAGGAACAAGTGTCCATGTTCCATTCCGAACCAAAGCTGTAAACTCATCTGCCATAGCCGATCTCCATGCGGGATCTTTTAGAGCCTGCATTACACATGAGGGTTCACTTTCACTGGCCGAGGTGAGGGTTGTGGTTAGGGTAAGTTAGGTATTAGGCTTGGTTATGTTATTTTTAGCTCGAGTCATCATAGAATGACGGTTACGTGGCGGTGACGATATGGGTGGCGATGGCTCGGTGGTTGGTAACTGTGGTTGGTCTAAGTGTGTGGGAGATGGCATAGATGGTGTACCAGTAGGTTCGGTGGTAGTAATTGGCGATGGTGAGTGAGAGTGGCGATGATCAGAGGCTTCGAAAGGCTGAGCAGATGAAGTGTCGTCGGACGGAAGCACAACTGGCGAAGAAAGCCTTGGAGGTGTATACGGGGACCATGGACAAACGAGTGTTGAGGTGGAGGACTGACAAGGCAGTGAAGAATCTGGTATTGTCAGAGGTAAGGTGGACACAGAGGTGGAGAATGGGAAAACATGTTCGACGAAATCAACGTGACGAGACACGTAGAGGCGATTCGAACAAAGTTCAAGACACAAGAATGCACTTTGACTTAGCGAATAGCCAACAAAGACACAGCGAGAGGAACGTGGTTGAAGTTTATGTTTTGTGTAAGGTCTTAGTCAAGGGAAGCAAAGACATCCAAACGTTCGGAGTTTCGAATAGTTTGGAAGATTGCCGAAGAGGACTTGAAAGGGAGACTTATTGCCGAGAACTTGTGTGGGCATGCGATTTATTAGGTACACCGCTGTGGGGATAGCGAATGTCCAGTGGGTCGTAGGAATGGATGCATGGGTGAGTAAAGCTAGAACTGTTTCGACCACATGTCGATGTTTCCTTTCGGAAATCCCGTTATGTTCGGGAGTGTGAGGTGGTGTTGTAAAGTGAGATATGCCATGGGTGGACAAAAAGTGACGGAGGGCAATGTATTCTCCTTCGTTGTCGGAGTGAAGAGATACGATTTTGGTGTTGAACCGATTCTCGACAAGAGGTTTAAACTTGATAAACGTAGAGTGGACATCAGATTTCCTTTTGAGAGGATATAACCAAGTATAACGTGTATGATGATCGATAAATACTACATAGTATTTATAGCCATCAAACGACGTTACGGGTGATGTCCAAACATCAGAGAATACGATTTCGAGAGGACGAGAGGTAGACACGGTGGATGTAGAGAACGATTTTTTGTGACTTTTATTGATTAGGCAAGAATCGCATGACAACGAAGAAGAAGAAGACATAGGTGAAACTGAAATGGAATCAGACACGATTTTATTGAGTACATCATGGCCTGGATGGCCAAGCCTATGATGCCAACGAAACAGAGAAGTTTTTGTAGTGGTGCACGCTAGAGGTGGAGAAGACGAGAGGGTAGGGTTTGGACATGGGATTGGCCACTCGTATACACCGTTCTTAAGGTATCCTCGAGCCAGATTTGCCCCCGTGATTCGGTCCTTCACCTGAAAATGGGTGGAATAAAATTCAACAAAAACGTTATTTGATGAGCATAATTGATGGATAGAAATAAGGTTCTTATGAATATTGGGGACATGAAGGACATTATGTAGCGTTAATGAGCGAGAGGGAGAAGGAAGGGATAATGAACCCGTATGCGTAATCGCAAGCCTCGATCCATCACCGATGACAACTTCGTCGTCTCCATTGTATGGTTGGTGTAACGAGAGATTGGAGAGATCCGTTGTGACGTGGTGAGATGCCCCGGAGTCAAGGAGCCACGACTGTGGTTGCGGTGAGAGAGCAACATGGTGAGCTGTCGGTTGCCAAGCATTGCGGGAAGTGTCGTGTTGGCCATTGGTAACGTCGGACAAGCTCGGAGATTGTTTCAAGAGCCGACAGAATTTCGCACTGTGGCCATGAATGCCACAAAGCTGGCACTTGCCTTGGTAGCCACGGGATGGAGTAGATGATGGGCGGCTAGAGCGAGATTGTGGTGCACCTATTAGCTGGGGCGCACGCCATGGTTGTTTTTTTCGATTCTGAGCCACATTTGCCGAGATTGGGCCATCAACAGTCTCGGTTGGTAGTGAGAGAAGATCGACTTCCACTGATATGAGTTTTTCATGTAATTCGACGAAAGAGATGATGGTATCCTTGGCATGGATAACATCTTTGATTGGTTTGAATTTATCTCCGAGTCCAGCAAGAATCATGTCAAGTAGATCTTCGGGATCCATTGGTTTGCCAAGCAATGCGAGTTCGTCACCTTTTACTTTAAAAAACTGCATGTACTCATCCACTGATTTTGTGCCTTTGACGTAACGTCGCATTTGTTCCTTAATCTGTTTAATGTGACCACGACTCGATCGACCATAGGTCGCAGCAAGCGTTGTCCAGGCAGCTCCCGAGGTTGTTGCAGTAGCAATAAGAGGTTGGCAAGAACTTGAAACCGAGCCGATCAATGCCGAGAATACCAACCTGTCCTGGCGAAACCATGGAAGGTATGCAGGATTGGGAGTAGCGATGTTGTTGGAGATAATGGTTGTTGCTGGAGTGGTTGTCGGATCGAGAAAACTTTCCAAGTTGTAGCCTTGGAGAAGAGCCCTGATTTGAACACTCCATGTGATATAATTCACGGAGGTTAGCTTGGTTACATTGGTAACGTTCACGTTTATTGACGTGGATTGAGGGCTGTCGGCATTGAACAGTGTGACATTGTCCGGAGAAGGAACATCAGTGGCGTTGGAGGAGGTGTTTTCGGTGGCCATTGCGGCGACGAGAAATAGGATAGGTAAATGAAAGTGGTGAACCCGAAAAAAAAATTGACGAAATTAGGATTGCGTCGTTGGACGGCTAAGAGCTCTTGATACCATATAGAGAAGTATATTGCTCGTGTATTTTATTAGTAATCATGCAATACATATATACAATAGTTTGTTGCTATTGTTAGGGAAAAAAGAAGGATAGCCTTTGACTGAACGAGATTACAATCAATTTGAATAAAGATTTGCAGATTTTGTGGTGTTATTCCTTTTTCTCTTAATATATTTCGGGATGTCAAAATGGGTCCGTCCAACAAAACGGCTCGCAAACTGACCTATATTTTTTCTGATGGAACTCAAAAAATTTGAATTCGAAAAAAATGGGTATGAACCAGTTTGCCACGAGTCGAGCTTGTGACGAACCAAATTGGCAAGCCCACGAATCAGTTTTTTTTTAAAAAAAATTTTCAGTATTTTCTTAATATTTTTATATTTAAATTGTGTTTTAATAGTTATTTAGATTTTTTAATAATTTTATAATATTTTTTAGTATTTAAATTGTGTTTTTTAGTTAGGTCTTTGACCCGCAAGTCGGTTCGTGATTTAATATGTGTCGGCTTGTGTCAAGTAATTTTTGACTTGCCAAATCGGACCGGATTGAACTAAAAAAATCCGAGATCGAGAGGCTAGGTCTACCACAAATATTTTAAAATAAACGTTATTGATAACTTACATATAAACCTCGTTAAAGTACACATCTCCACATTGCAAGTTCGAATGTAATAATTGTTTATATAGATATGGAATCATATAGTTTTACAATTTTACATAATCCATTTGCAAAATAAATAAAAAAAAGGAAGAGAAAGCATGTGAACAAAGGATGAAAAAAGGTTTAAACATCACGTATTGGGTCTTTTTTTAGACTTAGGGTTTCCATGGACATATATATGGACCGAGACTAAATCCATCCACACACGAGATCGATCCGTACAAAGAAAGGCCCAACATGTTTGTCAATAAATTTGTTACAAAAATTTATTTTTTTTCTATTTAACAGACGACTGATACACAATGTCTATTTAGGTATTGTAGTTTTTATCCACTAAAGATAGCCAAGTTTATTTGAAATTTTAATCAATTTTAAATACAAATTAATTTGGACTTGAAGGAAAATAAACCAAATTAAAGCTAAATTCGAGTTTAACTGTCTGCCATAGTTCAGTTAGGTTTTTTTTTTTGTTTTTTTGTTAATTTCCGGCAATGACAGTATTGTCCATTCAAGTCACGTGCGAGCGAGTGCTGACGTGGCGAGGTGAATACTGTGTGTGTGGCACTCAATTTGGGATTTTGTTTTTTTATTTTGTCTTTGTTCGTCGGCTGGTGATAATATTGTCTGCATTTACTGTTTGGTTCGAGAGATTCTGCTTTTCCCTTTTGTCAGATGATAGGAACACGTCGACTGAGGCACGATCGAAGATTTCAATTCCTTTGTCGCCGGATATTCAAATCAGAGGAACGATTCCTTCATCGATCCGCAGGTTCCCAAAGTTGTCTCTTTTATCTCTCCAGCTCGTCGTCGTCGTCTAGGTTTTCCTGTAAGTTCCTTTCTCCGACTTTTCATTGTCGGGTCCTCTCTTTCGATCCGCTTCGGTGTTGTGAGAAGATTTTACCATCTGGGTATTGGTAATTTTTGTCAGGACTCATCTGGGTTTGCTGTTCTGGGAAAGAAAATAGAAGGGCGAGGTGTTTGGATTCTTAAGTTTCGTTCGTAGGTATCATTAGAACTTGGATGGTCAAGTCTGACAGAGGATTGACTTCTTGTATTCAATTTTCATAGAAAAGCTGTTTAAGCTGGAGACTATCACAAAACTTATCAGTAAATTTGGGGTTTTTTTGTTGCCTCATGTGTTGTATTGATCTGCAAATTATAATAATCCGGGGGTAGGCTAGTTAGAGATGAACAATCTTTGGCATCTAGAGTGGGTTTTGGGTGTCGAATTGTTGGCTAATCTTTTAGAAGAGCATTCGATCAATTGCGTGTTTTGGGTGTCGAATTGTTGGATAGTAATTGCCTCGACTTATTATGTCATGTCTGGTGGTGGATATATTGGTCGGGAATTTTGGTGAAGGATAAGATTTCTTAGTGTATGGAGTCGATGGGTGGAATAGTCATAGTTCTTTCACAGGAATATGTTTCTGCATTAGTTTGCCGTGCAGATTATGATAAGAAGTGCATTGTCTTCAATCATCATTGGCTTTTAAGAATGTTTTTGTCTTCTTTCGGTGTCTTGTCTGGATTGCATAGGCATCTTAATTTGGTTAAGATTCCTTTTAAACCACATTCTGCTTGTATGAGGCCGATAAGGTGCTCTCTTTTGCTGTAACTTTCGACCAGTCTCAGGTTTCCGGATCATAAATATGTGCAGTTGATAAGACTATGTCACGAATTACTTGTCAAAACAGTTTTTGCTTTCCATGTAAGATGGCTAGGTTTAATGTCTCAACTTTCATCAAGCATTCGTGAGGTTGTTCTGTATTGGTTCTTGTAACCAGGGGGATGACAATGCATTATTTATTGACCAGAACTGAAAACATAAACTCTCAAGTTTTCAGGCGCAGGAAAACATCAGAAATTATGAATCTGTGGATTTGAGTTCATTTTCCTCATTCTGTTGCTGACAGTGTTTAGTTCTCTATTTTGTTTTTTCCCCCGATAGATTCTGATATACTTTGACTTTAATTACAAGAGTGTTATTTTCTTCCTTCTGTTGATTTATAGACCCTAATTCTGGATTTGGCTTTGGCAGAATGCATGAGTTCTCTACTGCTGATGGTTTTCTGGAGATAAATGAGAGCTTGGACGAAATGATAAAGTACATAGCAAATGAACCCTCAGTTGGGCTTTACTTCATCCAGCAGCATGTCCGAAATGCAGTACCCAATGTCATTAATCTCCAGAATGATGTGCTGGAGAAGTCCCGTGGAACGGTTTTGCATACTGAAGACTTGGAAGACTCCATAACGATGGTGAAATCCATGAAAGAATGCGGTTCCCCTATTGCTGATGAGATGATAAGAGACATCAAGAACTCCTTGGCTATAATGTCGACGAAACAACCGAGGAGAGGGCTGATACTGAACACGAGCCCTTGGAGTAGATCCAGCAGTTCACTTCTCAGTTCTGACGTCGCCCGTGAAAGTGAAAGTAGCGGTTATCTCTCATCTGTCTTCAAATCGGCCAAGCAGAGGGCTAGCAATATCAAATGGCCGCAGCTCGATTTCAAAGAACAAGAATTGAAGTCAGATAAGGAGGATCAAACACGCCAACGTGCTGTTGCTTTGCATGTTGCATCAGCAAGAGCAAACTCATCAGGCCATCCTGATGTGGCAGGCCATCATGAGCTACATGACACTGGAGATGAAGTCTCTTTAAACGTCGTCAAGACTGTAAAGGATGAACATGTCACGGAGACAGCCCAGTATGATGAGTTCAAAGCCGGGAAAGAAGCCAATCTCAAGGCGTGGCTTGGGGACATGGATGGGAAGGTAGATGCCGGTGGAAATGCTGCTGAGAGGATATAGGTTAGTTGTAAGAAACAGGTCACAACCTTTCCCACTGTTGTGTCTCTCTGTGTGTGTGTAATTTATACTAAATATTAAAAAAAAAAAAAAGATCAGGACTTGAACAGAAGTTTCCTTCTCTGAAAAAAGACATGGCTATGATCTTGGAGCTTCCATTGATTCAAGACATGGTCGGAAACTGACAAAAACACTAAGACAGACTGAAGTGAACTGTCTTCTCTATAGGTTCTCAACCACACAACAGAAAATGGAGTATTTTTTTTTTGGGTACGATCCTGCATTGAAGAATAGTACTGCTGTACCTTGGCAGATGTATCTGCAAAATATTTCAGAAGTGATAAATTTCCTTGGGCGGGATCTTGTTTGAAGATGGCTCAAGGACACAAGTGGTTTTTTTTTTCAGGAAGTTAAATCGCAGAAACTGACTCGAGTTCCGACAGCAGAAGGTAATACGATTCAGCCATTGGGACAGAAAACCCGTCCTCGTGCTTATTTTGCGCAAAAACCAGAAATCGCTACCATCAGAAATCAGAAGTGATTTTGAATGTTCAATCTAATATCATTTGAGTAAAATATTGAGATTATCATTGAACGCAAATTATAATAATAATAATAATAGAAATCCTTCAAATCAAACACCACATAATATATGTATAAATACCAGCCTGAGCAAAGTAATACAAAGAGTAAAGGTGGTGGAGTCCTTACAAGATGATAACGTAATACATTTCCAGACATCTTGTACGATATTTTCCTCTTACAAGATGTTATATATGATGACTCACTTTCACCAAAACAAGATTAAAACAAAAGCATAATCATAATCACGAAGGCGATCTTATATTCTTTTCATGTGAAAAGCTTCTCCAAAACAAAAACCCAATGTTACTCTCTTAGTCAGCTACGGTTTTGCTGCTCCATCAGTTATGTTATGTACACAGCTTCCTTAGACTTGTTACCTCTGTGTCTCTTTTTTTTTTGGTGGTTTCAGCTCGAGAAATAAGGGTTTGATCTCAGAATCTTCTTTGCTAAACTGCGTATGTCGTCTCTACTTGACTCAACCGATATCCTCACGATCTCTGTTACGCTTCCCGTGCTTTTGAAATCCTTCGCATTGTCCTCTGCATCCACAAGAACATGTATGTATTACATTAGCAATTTAAAGACCACCCAATTGATTGGATTGATCCAAGAAGGAAGAAAAGCGGGTCGGTTTTTCAAGACAGGCTTCATATTTTGGACGGAACAAAAGGCTATCAAGCATTTCCTCGGAACTTGGAAGAATACCCAGCTTTAGAATTTCCCATGCCAAGTTTCCCCCATTGAATTGCTAAATAGGCAGAGTCTAACAGCCTAACCGTTTTGAGCTAAATGGCAGAGCGCGAGCTCGATATGCCGTTGGCTTGATGCTGAATCGATGTGTGAGTTCGAAGTCAACCATTCAAGGGCACCCTCTTCCAGAAGAAGGGAACGCCCTTTTCTACGTCCTGTGATACATGGATTCCTTTAGAATCTTGTAAATCCGACCTCCTATTTTGAGTTAAAACTTTCGTAAAGGAAAATAACTTCAAACCTTGCATTATTTCCCGGGTTTCACACTTTGCAAAGTTCGCCATCCCTCTGGCCACTTGAGCAACGATATCTCTGTTCCCAGACAGCGCCAACTCGAGTAGGGCCTTGATGCCTCCCTCTTCTTTCAATAGCATAAGATACTTTTCTGTGATCCCAAAAAGAAACAAACTTCCCACACATCAGCAATCACAATTTGACATCACAACATCTTGCTGGGAAGTATATTATATAAATAAGTGCATGGATTAATGCAGATAAGTGGACACGTTTATGATTCGTTTAGAATAGAGATTAACTAATCTTGTGCTTACCGTTCCCGCATAAATTAGCAAGTGCACCAGCAACCATTCTTAGTGTCTGAGAATCCTCTGTTTTTGATGCCATCTTTGCTAGTAGCTGAGCACCTCCTTTATTCATTATAAGATCTTGACTCTTCTCTGCACATTTTAGATAAACGGGAAAACAAAAATTAGACAGGCCCATGGCTATTCTGAATTAACACCACATCAAGTGGAGAGATGCAACCCCATAGGAAAACTTATCAAAGGATAAGCATAGTTGATAACGTAAAACCTCCATGCAGTTCAGAAGAAAACAACATAAACCTAAGTGGAGTCTGCAGTTGCGTAGAAACTTCATGGAGTTGTCATTGAGATGAGAGAATTTAGCTTCAACTAATGAAGGGCTTATCATTGCAAGTCAGCCTAAATAAGTGCTTTTTCAGTCAGAAGATTTGGAGGTGACCTTGCTAATTCATATGCCTGAAGTTAGTGAACTTTGTTTCTGATCTATTAACTTTACAGAATATAAAAACCGAAGCATCAAAAACCATTTGACACAACTTAGAGATCCAGAAACCAACAAGCAAGCAAGCATAAACAATGACACACAAGCATAACTCATAACCTCTGCGCTCGAATATATTTCAATGATATCACATTAGAATATGGACCGCAAAAAGAAGTACTCACCATTCATTGCTAAGTTGGCAATTGCTCCAGACGCCACTCTAAGAATTGTAGAATTTTGTGATGATTGTAGCAGCATAAGCAAAGCATCTACACCCCCTTCCTCCACTATCTTCATCTGATTATTTTCTGAATACAGGCATAGGTGCAAGTCAATTAGCTGTTCAAGCATCAGAAGGAATATAGGACTATCAGCCTAAAACTACAAGATTTTGCACCTTAAACATAATGTAAAACAAAAAAGTATGTGAACTGCAATAGATGCTGTCTTCATAATAGAAAAAAAAAAAGCTGCAGTAAACAGAGCAGAAGTTCAGACGTGCTAATAAGATATTAAGAACTGAGAAGCCCCCAATTTTTAACTCTGGCAAATACGAATTTCATCTAGTCCGTTCCTGAATGCTGGTAAAAAGAGATTCATTGCACCTTCAGCAGCAAGATTTGCCACCACTTTCACAGCATGAATTTGAACTTCTAAGTCTTCGGATTTAATGAGTTGTAATATCTTCTGAATCCCAACTGAAATAACGGTTGGAAAACACTTGTAAGATATTAAGATGAAATAAGAGAATTTTCAAACCAAGTAGGCCAAATCATGAGATAGAACTATGCCTTCTTCACAAAGTCTTGCAATGGTGGCTCTTTGACCAGACAGCGACTTTTTTAAGATGTGTGATCTCTGTGAACCAGTTGGAGCTCCAGATTCTGATGATACTTTCAAAAGCTCTTCCTTAATATGTCGCTTCTCCTGTGGAATGATGTTGATAAGAACCCGAAACACTACACAAAGATAAAGGAAGCTCATTATGGTATACCTCTGCAACGTTTTCACTTTCACTTAGATTCTTCTTTAGTTTGACAAGTTCACTCTCCATTTGTTTCCTCTGCTTTTCTTCCAAAAGAAGTTTTTGCTTCAAATCCTGAACTTCTACACTGAGTTTCTCCTACATAGCACAGAGAAATTATATGTAACCACTAACTTATAGCATATTTCTTATGTGGTAATAGTGCAGGTGAGAGATCTCCAGTTGGATATTCTAAATACAACCAAAAGAACAAGAAATAAGTAGACTAGTTACACAGTTTCTGAAAAATAAAATAAAAAGGAGTATGAAGTTGGTATTTGCCAATTCTTATCTACGGCTATCATACCTTTTGCTGAAGCATATCATCATAGTCTAATTTCATGGTCTCGAATTCATCCACTGTTGATTCATGCTGTTGTGAAAGATCTTCTAGTTTCGCCCTAAGTTTGGTTACCTCATCATTCTCCTGGAACCCGAATAAGAGAGCAGCGATTATGACTGTCAGCAGAATCTAAAGCTCCAAATGCAGTTCTTTATAGAGTACAAATTAAAAGAACAGAAAATGAAATAAAATGCATTCAGTAATCGTTGCAGTATTATAAGAACACATAAAACTGACTTAGCATAGTGCTTATTGGAATTCCTTTCTACAGAGCAGGATAAGCCTTACTTGTGGATCTTGATGATCATTTCGAAGCTTTTTCATTTGCCCAAGTTGTTCTTCAGAATCCTTAGACCGAGCATATTCATCCTCTAATTGCTTCTGCAGTTCTGCAATTTTAGTTTCATATGTGTAAGTGGTTTCTGCAAGTTCCCTTTGATATTGGTAGTTGTCCATCTCGTGTTGCTACAAGCACGAAATCAATATTTCCACTTAGTTTTGTATTGCAAAATGTTCGAAGAAGTGAAGATGAAACAGAGATTTGGTGCTTTACTAACATGAATAGACGTTTCCTGAGTACTTAAAAGATTTTTCATTTCATTCAACTGATGCTCAGCGTGTGTTGACCGAGCCTGTTCATCTTCAACCTGC